AATTTCGCTACTCGAGGACTATTGCTAATAGTCCTCTAGTAGCGTAGCCAATTAAAATGCAGGATTTGCATTAGTCCACTAGTTGGGTGATACTAAGGGGGATTATCTCTCTTATCCTTTATCTTCTCTTGACTTAGATGAAAATCAAGCCAGTGTAAAATAAATGAAAAACACGGTTACCGTTTTGCTCCGTCATCTCCCACGTCATCTTCCTCTATTTCTAAGTTTTCTTCTTTTACAATGGCCGAGCTCACGGCTTTAGTGAATTCCTCTTTTTTGTCCTTCAATACATAATCCTCCAACAATGCTAGGACAGTGAATTCGGTTTTTGCAAATGGCCGCTTGAAAACTGATCTCGGTTTCTTCACCAGAAGAGCAAGAGGTTTTATCGATGTCCTTCCGCCGTGGGAGACTGGGTGATAGTCATTTTCGTAAAAGTTCTCCTCCGCAAAAGCTCGAAGCACATCTTCAATGGGCATCTAACAAGAAAATAAAACATTGAAAAGATTCGAGACCCACTGGAATGGTGCCACTAACTTACTTTGCGATTCCTTTGCCACATAAAATATCTACTGGTTGATCTCTAACTAAAACCAGGGGAGGGTTTGAGGGGGTGGAAACCCCCCTCCCCCCCTCTTTGAGTAACATTTTTTTGCAATTTGGGTAAGTCATCATGAAAGTAATAGAACAAAATTGTTGTATACGAAGTTGTTTCACTTCCACCAACTGACTTGATTGTCACCGTTAGGAAGATAATGCACATTACTAGTTTTGGTTTTCTGGTTGATAAAAGGGAAACTCCGGATTTTGTATAATGCCTTCACAAACGTTTTTCAAGGTTTAGAACCACCCTTTCATGAACTCGTGGATCCGCCCTAGCTGAAAACTGTTCGACTACAGCATCTACAGGCCTTAACAAAGAACAGAAGTAACATTTCCTAAAGTAACATTAAAAGATTTGTCACGAACGTACGGAGGTCGCACTTCACTAAAATTCTCCCCATGGGAGATTTGATCGAAGGGTTCCAGTTAGTGATCGACCAGTGGTTATCTTTAGGAAGGAAACCAGCGTTTTATCAGTAAAAATCTCGGTCGAAAAATCTTAACTGTCTCGAAACTGAAAACAAACCATAGTTTCCCGTTCACTGACTGTAACAGAATATTTTCGATGACGACAATAAGGCAAAGAGACCTTCTGTTTCTTAAGAACTGTAATTTTGTTCTATGATGAGGGATGGTTTTCAAATCTTTACCGGTGATCATGAGCTATTATTAGAGAATCTTGATTTTAGTCTCAGTTTAACTTCCTGTTTTCACCGGAAACAACTCTCGTAGGTGGTAATTTTCCAATTATAGCTAGAACATGTAATTTCAAATTTTATTTTCGAATTTGCAAGCGATCAAACGATGACCGTGAACGAAATAACGATCAGACTTAAAGATCAAACTGGACATATTTCAGAGAAAATTACGACATATTCATTTCGTTTACTAGTGCAATTTCATAAAATCGGTTCAAAAATAAATAAATTACAATATTTAGAGAAGAGACCACATCAATTTTAGTAGGTTTTCATGAGGGTTCTCGATCCTGGTGGAATTGGAATTTGGAAATGTTGGTATAAACTCTTGTCGTTAGGCCATCGTAGTTAAGAATATAACACAAACAGCGGTGATAAACATTGTATTCCAACGCAGTTTAATACAGAACTTGACGTTTCGTTTCGCTTCGTTTGGTTTTTGCGGAGGGAGCCGAAAAATCCTCGGAGCAAGGCGAGGACCAACAACAAACTCAACCCACATATGGCACCAGGCCGGAATCGAACCCGGTCCCGGCCACATTGGTGAGAGGCAAGCGCTCTCACCACTGCGCCATCACTGCTCCCCACAACTGCAGATTACTGTATTATTTTCCCGCTCCTAGACTCAAAGTTCGGAGTTATTCCTGGGGTACATTTACTTTCATGAGAATTTCTTAATACATTCTACAATGTCAAATGTTTGGTCATGTTATATTTGAAATTATCCTCCTCTTACCTTTGGATGAGAGAAATCTATCTTAGCCAAAGCTGGCGAGAATTCCTGCAAGGCAAATTTGAGTCCCTACAAGGCTACGCTTGTCAATTCCTCGTTGTAAAACCTTTTTTAACATCTGACAAGCTCGTTGCCCGATTTTCGTTTTCGTGACGTCAGTGTCCATCCGGGAGGATGATGGGACAGATTTGCGTTCATAGTCTTCATCCATGCTGTTTTCCGCATCGCGTAAATATTAGACAAGGAGATTGATTCGAAATTTGCAGGAAAAGCAAAATCATTTGAGATTTTAATTCTGTTCATTTAAAAGACAAGGCAATAGGTTTGGCGAAATAATAATAATGAAAGAAATTTCACGGAAATATATTTATTTTCCTATTTTTTAAGAAGATTACGACATTTTTTAACTTATAAGACATGTTTCGATGTTACTAACATCATCGTCAGTTACAGAATATTTGAAAACCGTTGGGACTATATAACAACCAGGCGAAGCATGCATAGTTAATTATGATTAAGTGACAAAAATAGATTACATATTTGAGTGAGTACAAAGTGTTTGAAAGAATATAAAGCCTAAAGTATAAGTGTCAGGTTGACGTGATGAACTTGTTGATTTAAATTGGACTTTTCCCAATTTATATGCATAGCTTCCTTAAGTTTAAGTTGAAATTTAGTAGGGGCGGAGTCAAGGATTTCGAAACAATCCTCAGAGCAAGATTGACGACAACGTTCTGAGCTTTGTAAGTGTTTGAAGATGTGTGAGGACTTGTCTGAAGAGAGATGTTCACGGACGTGTGTGGAAAAATGACGACCAGTTTCGCCGATATAGCAAGCATTACAGCAAGCACAAATAAATTTGTAAATCACACGTGACGAAGTTCTCTAGGGACAGAATCCTTCGAATCACTGAGAAAAGATTTCTTATTTTCCGCCAAGTGAGCCGAGTGGCCTTTCTGCTGTAGTTTACAGCCGAATACCGAGGTAACCTGCAATAAGGTCCTAAAATTTTGGTCATTTGGTTGTAGAATGCACCATCCATTGACAAGTCAATGTTGGGATTTTAGGGACTTCGAGAGAGTTAGTTATTATGACTAGCCTAGCTCGTAACTAGTTTTTATACGTTTCAAGCGGTGTGGTGATTTCCCGGGTAGGTAAATTGTCTCTTAAAAAAGTGTGCAAAATCAAAAATTTTGAAAAAGAGAATTTTACTGACTTAGAAAGCTACCCACAAACGTATACTTGGAATCAATGCAAACGATTGAATTGTAAAACCCTCAATAGAAAAATCCCAGGATCAAACTAGGGTCTTATTTTATGCTGATTGAACAGGTCCGAGGCTTTTGTTTTGTTTATTTTTCACGACACATGAGCCAGTAACGAATTAGTAAGTTTCTGGAAAGTTTAAAAGATATTTCAAGAAAAATAATCCCCACCACGTTTAAAGGATATCTGTGGACGAAATCTAATAAGAAATAAGATTTTTTTCATCATGTGCCAGGTAATTTTGATTTTGCTCGCTCTAATTGGATATTTTCTCTTATAATGTCAACGGTTTAATAATGGCAAATGTCTGATAATATTGTAATTTAAATTAACCTCGATCAACTTACCGTTGGATATGAGAACTTTGTATTCTCCAAAGCTGGCGCGAACTCCTGCAATACAAACTTGAGTTCCACTTAACGGCTACTAGCACTCGTTTGAATTCGTCCCTACCATTAAATTGAAAACGACTTTCTTTGCATCGTCAACTTTTGTTTTCGTTTCTGCTCGCGACTTGCTTCCAGTGCCCTATCGGGAAAGGGGGCGGGTGGGACATGGTGGGATAGACAATTTAATTCACTTCTGTTCGTCTTCTTTATCCTTGCTGGTTTTCATCGATCTATAAAGTCCTGCTTACACTGCCTTACTCAAACATGATATAACAACGAATGAAGATTTGTATCCCCTAATACCGCATTCAACAGATTTGCCGGTGGTTCACGAAAAACTTTACGGCAAATCCCTCTCCTCCTGGGTACGTTTAGACAATGGTTGTAAAGAGAATTCTGGCAGAGGAGGTCTTAAAACAAAACTTATATATGTTGTCTAATGTTAAATAGTGAGTGAAGTTCTCCAGGGGGGTTCAAACAATTATACGAAAACCCACCTTGTGTAAATTTATTTCGAATAAGCCTCAAGTTAACACCCACTATCCGTATGATGTGAACATTGCAAGACAAACTGTTAGCTCTTCGCTTGAAGTTGCCTTGTGCTTCAAATATTCTCCTGTAGGAATTCATTTAACGAAATATCAAGCCAAATAATTGTCTCAATCCAAGTTAAAGAGAGCACTATATAAAACGCGCAATGTTCTCGCGATACCTTCTCATGAAGTTGTTTGCATAGCCTCGTACAAAGCTAACATAACTATGGAATCAAACCGTACTTAAAATGTCACAAAATAGCAACTAATTCATGCCCCATTTTTTTCTGTAAACCTGTTCACATCATTGTTCAAAGCTTACTGTCAAGTAGACCTTTGTTTCTAAGTGGTTTTGTTTTGAATTCATAGTGCATCTTGAACTTTTGTTTCTTCAGTAATTCATTCTCTCCTGGCTAGGCCCAAGCCTTCTCAATTTCATCCCAATGCTCATCTGACAAATCTGTTGTGTAAAATAACAAAAACTTAATCGTCTTGAAAGGACAACAACAGCGCTAGCTCACAAGGGAATGTTTCGTGTAACATCATATCGCCAAGTTGTTTCATCGCTGCCAAACAAGCAGCTTGAACTTCGATTATGCTTGCTGCAATCAAACTCGTTGCTAGAAGTGTTCCATTTA